ATTATTTCTGCAGAATTATGAATTACTTCAGTTTAATTTTTATGATTTGACTGAAGGATCAAAGAAAGTACCAATAAGCCTAACACAATCATTTGCATTTTTCTAAAGATCAGTTATCAGTGATGGTTACAAAAGAATGTATGAATCCAGCTTAATAAACAAGATTAAGGAACATTTCAGTGCCTAAGCATGCAACTAGGGTAGTATTTTCAGTCTAAACCCTGGTAACCATATAATCTGAAAGATGGCTGTAGGGCAAGATTTGTCAGTTGGTGTTAATATGACGTTCTTCATAGATCTGATTGGGCTCATCATATTTGCCAATATCGGATTTACTCTAAAAAATAATTTTCAGGTTTATTAGTGGGGCATTTGTGAGGATACATTTTTTACTTGTATATAATCAATGAGGGATTTTAACCAACTCTGTCAGTGTAGGTGATGGTATGGAGTCTGAAAAGAGATTGTCCAAGCAACTAACCTCATTTTCAATAGGGAGAGCTGAATGGGGTGTGAGTAAGTGGGACTGTGATTGAGAAATAAGAGGTAATCCATGTGTTCCATACACATCAGGGGCTGACCCACTCTCCAGGTTCCTCTTGATTGGATTATTGTGAGAATTGCTATGGCTGTTTCTTCAGACATATTGTAGTCTTACCACACGTTGTAGAGCTGTCAGATTAGGGGGACGGAACAGTTGGTCTTTTTATACATGCTGTTTCTTCACAAAGCTGGTTAATTATCAGTTGAGGGATGGTGGAGACAAAAATTTAATGCTAGGATTGAGATGAAGAATACAGTCCTTGACATGGAATATATTTCCATGACACAGTTCTCATTTTATGAACTGATGATCCCTCGTATTCAAGCCACAATGGTTCCACCAAAAGCTCTCCAGGAAGGTTATATATCGTCCTACTGCATGAAAGCTTTTGTTCAAACAAAAGCAGAGTTCATGGGAAAGCAAAGCCTAGATGAACTATTCAGAGTTGTCAAAAGCATATAGAGGGTCATTTGAGGTATATTGTTCACACTTTTTGATGAAGTGTAGTGGTAAGGAAAGTGTGACCATCCTGTATAGGTCCAATTACTGGGGAGGCAGGGTTCTGCTGTAAACTTATCATGTGTCATTAACTATATGAATTGGAGCCTCTAATTACCATGCATTTATCTCCACAATAATTGAACTGGGTTTCTGTTGTCCTGCACATGCTGTGTGTTTGTTTACGAGGTGAGAATGGACAGGTGGGAATATGAAATTAGTTCCCCATTTCCATTTTTCCCTGATCCCTTTACACACTATACCTCATGATTACTGAGGAATTAACCACACCTGCTTGTTTTTGTATGAAAGTGATTTACCTTGCTAATATTTTAGTGGTGTTTTTCTACATCTGTGTATGGTAATGAGTTATATTTCTGTAATTACCGGTAGTTTCATATTTGTTTGGTCTGTTATGTTATTTATTCTTAACAAGGTTAAATATAGACCATACACTTGCTGGGGCAGTAGCCACCATCTTGCATTTGAAAAAACAAGAATCATCAGAAGAATTAGCAATACAAAAAAACTAGGAAGCACACAGGATATGATTGAGATGATGTTTTCAGTAAAACAACTTTTGACATAAAAATATTATTCATGGAGCTCCTTATTTCCAAATTTCTGATAACAGAAGACATGAAGGGAAAATCTGAAAAGATTATTAAGAACACATCAAAGATGAAAACTAACATCTTAATCAGCTTTAAAACATCAATTTGTTATTATTGTTTCACTTGCAACTTTTGAGCATATGGCAGTTGTTAGATTTAGTTTGATGAGTTTACAACTTCACTTCTACTTTAAAGTGTACCACTGAGCATTCTCATTCCATCTCACAGTTAACCATTTCACTATATGATATGAGCAGGGCCAAAAACAATCATGACTATCAAATGTAATCATTGACAGTATCGTCATACAGTATCTTCATAAATCTTGTCAGGCATGCAATACCTTTATGTATCTCTTTCATGTCTGATTTATGGAAATCAAATCTCTACATTCACGTCACAAATCACTGAATCGATTTGCCATCAGAACACTTCATAGCACAGAGATCGAGATCACTGACCCCATCGTAGGTAATGGCATCAAAACATGAACCCATGAGAAATAGAGCATTTGTAACTGCTCTGGTCATTGGTCGGTCGACTTGGCCAGTTTACTCTAGGGGATATCAGCAGGATCATTGTGTACCATGGCTTCTGTTAAAGGTGCTGAGGAGGCTCCAGTTTGGGAGGATTTTGACTTGGACTTATCTCTTGAGTATGCGATAGAAATTCTATAACCAAATTTGGGGTCATCAATAGGACCATGATTAGCATGACAAGCAACTGATTAAGAAAATTGTGTTTCATCAATGGTAGTTGTTACATTGCATGGGAAAAAACACTTTCATTTTGAATTGGATATCAAGAATGTCTGCCGTGAGTGATCAAACACTCATCATGACAATTTGGGTGATTTTTTACCAGGGAAAGAAGACACAATAAACATTTCCATTGCTTCACATTAAAATGTTATTTCTTGCTGAAATTATGAAACATATCTTTGATAAATCTTTGATGACTAATGGTACTGTATCAATGACAAGCAGACATGGAAAATGCAAATTTGGGTATTCCTTTGAGACAAAATCGCTGACAGGGTTTATCTCTCTTTATCCCTCATGATAGTCCCAGAGGCAGCACTACTCAATTGCTGGTAAAATTTCAATGAACCAATTTAGAAATTGAAGACCCCTATCATTACTGAGTCTATCACAGTAACGGGTAATTGCTGGGCATGTTGGAGCTTAAGTAAAAGAGTAAGGCTTGTGCAGTGTTGAATGTCCTGACATGGGCAAGAGGAAATGCTATCGCAAGCACTTATTTTCTAAATAGGGCTTTTTAATCATTGTTGATAAAATCAACAATATATCTCATTAGATTCTTATGCAAAATGGCTTGAAAATTATCATAAATGTATGCTTTGGAATGTTCTCTTATTCAATTATTCTTGAAGAGATCATAACCTTACTGAAAGATATTCATGAATTTAACTCTCCAGCTAAATGGAAATGGTTTAATGACTTAATCTTTTTGAGCAGAGGGATCATATCAGTAGATAACAGACTTCAAGTTATACATGTTACCACTGATGACAGTAGGAACAGTGCTTTGGTGCAAAACAGTATCAGTGATACAGTCCATGGTGACAATTAGTGATAAAATGAAATGCAACATTCATTCACACTGTACATAGCAATAGTCAATGAGTTTACTATTGATAGTGAAAAGGTTAAATCATTATATAGTTTCAATTTAAGATGTAGTATTCTTGCTAGTTAGTGGTAATGTACATTGGCAACACTCAGTATAGGTGGTCCGATTAGCTGTTGACAGTGACATGTAGATAGATGGGAACAAATGAAACAGTTAGAGCGAGACTAGCTTGTTGGGGAAGATAGGCATGAGACATATTGGAGGTATCTCTGGGATTTTGGGTGACTAAATCGGTTAGTGGAAAGTGAACATAATTGGCATCGAGGGATTTGTAATGTCTGCTAAGATCCAATGGCAGTTGAACAGAGGGCCATCATGATCTTGTAACCAGACTGCCAGCACTGTAATGATGGAACTGAAGTGCTTTTGTAAGGTTAGATGCTTTTGTCAGAAATATATATACCAGGTCAGCTATGCTACATTACTTGAAAAAAACCTCTTCCATGCTTCAAAGTAATTTGTTTGTGTCTTTAGAAAATCCTAGGTTGTTTGCAGATTTCGTATTTTGGTAATTTGTAATAAAATGTGATTGATTGTATTAATAAACTTTGTAAGACTTTGTAGGATAACTTATGTTTTTTTTCCTCAGAAAGAAGGAGTAATATATTGCTTTCTCACAGCTGAATGTAACCACCAACTGTGTATGATGGGTCTTTCAGAATTTCAAACTGAGAGATCAAATATCACTGGCAGAATAAAAAAGGGTTAAGTTGTCTTCAGTGTCAGGACTATATTTGAAATTGTGGATTATCAACCTGGAAACAGTTGGTACGGAAGTAGGGGTCCATGATTTCATCTCCATGCTTTGGTCTTCTTCTGCAGCTGTTGGTAAACTTGACACTTATGGTTATACAGTGTATAGTGTATCCTCTAATGAGACTCACTAATACATACATCATTGCCAATTGGATATGTTATACTGATTATGGGAGATAATTTTGAATATGTTGTCTACATCAAAATATTTAATTAAAATTATATATGAAATTGCAACATTCATTACATAGAATGGAGATGTTATACAGATACTGTGGTACTGAATTTGAGCCAATCAGACAGGCTTATACCCCCTACGTTGAATAGTGAGCCAATGACATACAGTTCGAGACCACCTGGAGGTTGGCCCAGAATGCTGGGACAATCAGCAATGACTCCCTGGTGAGATGTTAGACAATATAGAGGTCTCTCTTCCACAGAGGGGAGGTATCATTGTCACTGACATATTTTCCCAACTGTAAAGTATCAGACTGACTTTGTAATATGTGTTTGGTTGTGGACAGTCATGGCCTCAAACTCACTATGTTGACCACATTCAAGAAAACCACATCATTTTTAGTGTTGATTAAATAACATAAAGAAACAATGGGTTGTTATCATTTGGAGATTGAGGAAGGCTCGTGTTTACTTATAGAACTTCATTTACTGAGTCTGTATATCATTAGCATGCATGGCATCTAGTTTTGTTAAGGGACATTCTCAGGATAAATTCATTGTTGCAGAATTCTTATGTTTCTTATGCAAGAATATCAATTTCTGTCAAATGGTCATTTAGCATTTGAGTAGCAGTGACACTTTATTGCTTTGCTTGTAGATATTGCCAATACCAGGGTTGGTTATTTGTAGTTGAAGGAACAAAATTCATTGTGCAATGATCCCCATGTCCTCTTGAATTTGATAAATTGAGTTAGAAGTATACAGTCGTGCCCCGATTATCCGGACACTTGTGTTTTTCTTGAAATTGTCCAGATAAACGAATTTCCGGATATCTGAACCACAGACTATATGTAAAAAGACATACATGTCATCCACACTTTCGCATTGTTCCTGTACCTAACATAAACTTCCGGACTAAAGTCACTACCAAAACAACGGGGACGTCTAGCCTTGCCAATCACAAAAGGTTTAAGTCAGTGTCACCTTGCTAATTACAGGTAGTTAATCCTCTCATGCTTCAAAGACTGCCGACTTTCTTTTAGGTTAGGGCACGCAAGGTCACTCAGTAAAATGCGTTTATAAACATACTGACAGGTGCTCATCCATCCGGATAAACGAAAAAAAATGCATATAATTTAGCGTTTTGTATGTAAAAATTACCATCCGGTTACAGAAACCGGATTTCCGGATAAGTGGGTAATTTTACAACGTTGTGAATTTGTCTTAAGGAATTTTCATTCGGAAGGCGAGTTTTCCGGATATCTGAGGTTCGGATAAACGGGGCACGACTGTACTCATTTTCAAAGATGTTCAAACACTTTTTAGGTTACATTATTTTTTTTATAGTTGTCAACATGCATCTCATCAATGGTTCAAAAATATTTTAGGCAGACATTGGACAGGGTAATAAAATCATTTGAGAATCATTCCATATACGCACATTCTATAACCTTAGTTTCATTTTGTCCCAGAGTGTAACCATTGTACCTACAGTAAGGTGAAAGATAAATTATTATGTAGGAGAAGTGAAAAGGAACATGTTCTCATAAACCTTTGAAGTTTGTATGTTCTCTAATGGTTTCAGATAGAAATAAAGAAAATATTTCAAACTGGTTGATACAAAAAAAAACATTCTGAAAGTGGCATGTTTCTTAGTCAACATGTGATAATGTAATGCACTGAAGAAACATTGAAGAGCTATAATCTTGATTAGACTTTGAAAATACTTGACTTTCACCTCAACAAACCTAAAACAAATTAGTATCACTTCCATGCATGTTTTTCTTTGCTCACAATTTAAACACAGATAAGAGTCAATACTTTTTCCAATGGTGCAGTTTAAAAGATGATTGTCAGGGAGAAAACGATGTTATTCTGAGATGATACCCGCCCAAAAAACATCGTTTAAGGGGTGACATTCAGTAACCTGATTCAGGGGTCACGTAAAACATTTCAACATTTTAAGAAAGAAAATAGGGAGAAAACAACTGTCCCTGGCACAGACCCCTGTCTTTTATGGGAGATGAAAACAAAAAAAGTTGCTTTGAGATTATGAGATACAGATAAAGTGTCACAGAGTGACAAGTTATGTTATTTTAACATTTGTAGCATGGGGATCTGCTGGCTCAGAGGCCAAAAGGTGCAAGTCTTCCGAGTGGTAAAAACGTGTCCTGTTGACACCAAAACATGGAACTTTTCAAAAGTGTCAGGAAATCAGCAGGGAAGGAGTGAGAAGTGAAATTTACAGTGACATAACAACATATTTGCTGCTTTCAGGGTTAATCTTTTCCTGACAAGTGAATTTAGCTACCACTTTGGACAGTTTTGCAGGGAAAGCAATTCATTTTAAGATGGATGATTTAATGATATATATTTGAAAGGCAAATCTTAACTTTATGAATTGTTTGTTTAACTCTTTGATAAACCTTGGACTGTTTTTGGAAGAAGTAAACAAGATAAAACTACTTTTAGAATGTTAAAAAAGAAGTGTTGAAATACCCCCAACATGTGGAATGCTGTGTATGAGTGCAGGTTGTGATCATGAAGCCGCTAAGACCAGAATAGATCGCAGTTAAAGTATTTAATGATAATCTGTCACCAAAGCTAGTAAGGATTTCAGTTAATTGCTCTCTTATGTCTTGACTGATCCTGCTGAGGTTGTAAAGAGATTAAAATGTAAAAACACTCCAAGGGTCATGTTTCAGGAAAAAGTGTCATGCTGTGTATAAGTTCTCCATTAACTTAACTTGGCCACTGTAGTAGTAGGTGGCCAAGTGGTAAGTGTATGAGTCACATACAAGTTTGGTTCCAAACATGGGTTGATATGTTGACCCCTTTACTCATGTCCATCATTATTGGTATTATGTACAAGTAAACCATACATACATTCATTCATTCACTCACTCACTCTATGAATTTAAATGTTTCTGATTTCACCAGTCAGACAGAAAAAGTCATGCCACAACAAAACTCGGGTGCATTATTTTGAAGTATCTTGTGATGAGTAGCATGTACCTCCAAAATACAGTGATATGATAGAAATAGTGCTTTAGATCCAGACATTCATCCTCTATATGAGTTTTATACTTCTGTGCTAGAAGGGCCCAAATTAGTTCAGAACAACAAGTTCCTTGGCAATGTAAAGAGAGAATGAGTGTCATGGTGTCTAAAGCCTTGTTCTAATGGTTACTATTGTCTGACTGTTTAGGTGGTTACTGCAAAATGTCTTTCATTATTTGAATAATTGTATTTGATGACATGCATTTATATGATAGGAAGTATTATGTATGTGTAATGTATTAACTATCAAATTGAAAACTTTTTTATGTGTGGCTATCTTCTGGGTAAGTTATGCTGTTAGTGTATCTTTTGTGATGGTTATTGTTTTTTCTCCAACTTTTAAGATCCCAATAGTTCCCAGCCAGGTCTTGGCTTTCAGAATTACAGGCAGATAAAGAATGGTGGGGGAAAGGGTTAAATGTTCCCTGCCTCAACATGCAGCTTTGTCTCCACTGGGTCTTGGTGGTTTGATCGTAATGAGTAGGTGTCTATTTCATAGAGAAAAGCACACATTACACAACTCACATGACTGTTAATTGATGAGGTCTTTGACAAAAAGCATTTTGTGGTGGAACTTCTCACAAGTGAAGTGTGATCTGATGAACTGTGCAGATCAACAGGCTAAGTTATTCAATTTCTGGCTGCATTCAATTGAATAATTTTAACAGGTTTCATACTGTTCATGGTAGAAGACCTTTCAGAGCCTTTCTTTCAGGAAGTTTTAAGAAATGCATCAGTATTCAACAAAATTTAAACTTTGTTATGTTTTATATGAGTCCCTACCATTCACCTGATGAAGGAGCAAGTATACACTCCGAAATGTCGTGTTATTCACAAAAAAGAAGTTGACATCCATAAAATCTTGCTTTTCCTATGGATTTGTGTTGCCTGTGGCAATACTCCTGTAATATGGGTTTCATTCATTACTGGCTATCAAACTTGTGAGCAATCACTTACCACTAGCCTATCTCAACACCCATAATATTTATGACCCCTTTGTGGATTCTGGACTTGAATGGGTCACCAGCAAATTATACTCATTGTACTAGGTGACTTAATGGACAGGGTAGGCAGACATGGCTGCTTGTTTTAAGTTTTATCCTGATGGCCTGGGACATTGGTCATAATATAATTGATTAATGGATAGTCTGTCCACAACATGTCATCATTATTTAACATGAATGTTGCAAAGTGCACTGTTAAACTTCAAACAGAAAAATACTATGCAAGAAGAATCTGAAATTGACCTTAGAATCTTAAATGCACCTTGTCACACCAAAACCCACTATTTGTAAGACAGAAATAATTTTATAGACAGGTAAATAAGCAAGCAGTTTCTTTTTCCTACAAAAAGTATCTTTGATGAAAATACCACCTGTCTAATGTCATCTTTTACAATCTGTAAGAAAAGAAAATGAAATGACTGTTATTGTGACTGTATGAACCTAAGATCAGTTTCCAGGTAAAACGTATAATGATTTATTTATGCACCCTAGCCAGGTGTTATCTTCATTTACTGTTTAGTGTACATCTATCTACCTATCTCAAGGTGTTATTTCAGATATAGTGAGTGACACCTTACAGGTAGCAAGTAGCAATTGGTGGGAGGGTTATGTGGCCATGTTTTGTCATCATACAACTTTTTATTGCATCTATTTCCACTCCATATGTCATATGGAATGTAGCTATATGTATGCCAGTTTCACATACTTGTTGAACAGAATATTTACGAGTTGAAATAGGCATACCTTCTTATAATAAGTATGTAACAATAAAGTTAAGAAGGGCTAAAAGAAATTGTATGTGTGTACAACCATAGAAATATACTGAATACCTAATATCTGATTTAGTATAGTGATTGCTTCACAACTAATATTTCATTTAGAAATATGTCAGTGCCTTATTGGATTCTGGGGCAAAATCTCACTAAGATGCAAAGAGTCAATTTGTTCCAGATTACTTATCATAAGTCTGCTAAAACTTCGAGACTAATTTTAAAATAAATGTCTATTTTATGCTTGACTCCTTCCGTTTGCACTCAGTTCATATATGGGTTCCATTCAGATTGGAAGTTTTTAACCATCCTGCTAATTCCTACATCTGTATTTCATGCAAATGTGGCACCAGCAATAACCTTCTCAATCTGCTGAAAGAAACTGTTCATCTGCAACATGGGATAATGTTAAATCAGCCTTCCATATGTTAAGGAGATCTGTTTCACATTCTAGAATGGTTTACGTGACCAAAATTATGACATTTATGATTGTATTGCTAAACTAGTGTCCTAGTTTGCTAGAGATTGGAGAGTAAGCAGGTTTCCTATAGGATGAACATGGAAAACCAATCTTCTGAAGATTATAAATAGTGTATTAATGCAGAGTAGTCAGAGGAGTTTAAGCCTGGTTCATGGATGTTTATATATTGGCTGGTGTAAATTGTGAAGTATTTTTTTGTTTGTTAGTAATCTTGTTACATGTTCCAGTCAAGTGGCAAATGATGTTACATACATAGTGTGTACAATAAAACCTGAGCAGCTGAAATTGAGTTTAACAAGGCTGCAATTGACCTTAATTCCTTACAAGAGAAAGAAGATGCAAGTTTTTGTCAGCTGTCTTTCAGTTGCAGCTAATGTGGTTGACAAGACAGTCAGTGCTTATCAGCAAGGTAGTTTTCCTGTGGGTGTTCCTGCTTGCCTATGGTGCTCGGACTGTGAAACTTTTAATGCTGGATCAACAGACAGCAAGCCACAGGAGTAAATGTTTTCCAAACATACAAATCACTTCAGGATTTCATCTGGGTGTTCTGT